GAAGACATAAATTGAGATTGTACAGTACAAGAAAAGTAATTCTAGCTCAAAAATCTCTTTTTATTCATTTATAAGGAGTATTTACAAGGTGCAATGTATACATAATATACAATACAAAATTGCAAGATAGGAAAGTCCTAGGAGACTAAGAGAGATTTATTCCTGCTCCCGGAGTCAAAGGTAGGGAGCCACTAGGAGCAGCCAATGGAGGAGTCGAGCAGTCTTCTCCTTCGTCTGGCTCCCCTTCTTCCTTGCCAATATCAAGTTCCCCTCCAAGTACTTCCACCTCTACCAACTCATCCAAACACTTGACCACAAATGGGAGGATAGTGGAAGCGATCGGGCGGGCTCTTCATCTCGACTAGAAGTTGCACTGAGAGGTAGTCGTACCCGGCTTTGCAGGCTATCGTTACTTCAGTCTTTCCAGTTAGGCTTTGGTAATACCCCTCAATGATCTCCTGGCGGTAAGGCTCTAACTCGATGTAGGCGTTGTGGCTTTGTGCCACTGCCAAGGACTCATGTAAGTGGGTGATCTCCCTCTAGAGCTTGACGAGTGTTGCACGCTCCTCGTCCAGCTGAAGCCTTGGGTGCACTGTCGCCTCCTTCTCGACCTCGACCTACACCATAGTGCGGTTCCTCTATTGGAGAGCCTCATCCAGTCTCCTAGACTTCCTCTTGCTCTTGTCTAACTTTTGCCTGAGCTTGTCGACCTCGAAAACTTCTGGGGCTAGCGTCTCCACAGCCCGTTTCGAGTCGACCCCTCCGCCAGCCCTCAGGGAAGCAACCTATCCTAAAAGCTTGAGATATGAAGTCCAGATCTACTCCATCTGACTGTACATCTCTTGCTCACCCAAAGCCCCCCGAACTAAGTAGCTTCAAAGACTTAGTTGGAGACCGACACTAGGAACCCCCTTCATCTTGAGGAAGCCAGAATTGCTCAACCTCCCTCGATTGAGTCATGCGAGAGCCAAGGACTATCCCCCTGATATCAAAATGGCGAGCAGGCTTGTGGTGGTGCTCTGGGTCGGGCTCCCGCACACACCAAGGGCCGACCCCCAAAGTCTCAATGAGGTACCGCCTCATTCTCTCCCATTCTTACTCCCCAATCTTAGTAGCATGGTGAGGAAAGGGGGTATTCTAACCCTATGGGAGGCGTCGTCTCCTCCGTAGACGGCTCTTTGCCATGGTAGGACGACTCACCATGATGCACTGATAGCTCTCCTTCTCCAGCAAAGGTTCTAGCCTCAGCTTCAACCTCTTCTTGGGGAGCCTCGGCCTCTTCCACTGGGCTGACTCATCCACATGGATGATGTCAGTCTCAACTGCCTCAGCCGTTGCCTGGGCCATTTGCTCTTCATATCTTCGTAGCTATCTCCTTCCCGTATGAACGAGGGTGGTAGAAGGATCCTCCTCACCCATCTCAGCCTCCACAAGGGGAAAGTCACGTCGGAGATGCTTTTCGAGCCTCACAGACGGCCCTTCTTGTGGGTCAGCCCGAGGAGTAGTCAACATCATCGCCGCTTCCGCTATCACTAAGATAAGGACTGGAGCCCTCTTCTGGTCCTTAGCAGTAGGAGGCACGACAGACACATTAGCAACCCACAAGACCGAGTTGTCAAGTAGGTGCTCGACTCGATGAGAGCCAACATACACCTTGATTTGGTTTAGTGCATCCCTCTCAGCGTTGAGCAAACCCTCCATGAGTGTCTCCCTCCTTATTTCGGGCCAATTCGAGTAGCCCAACTCTAGGTCGTCCCTCACGACCCAGACAAAATTCTCTTTCTAGTCCTTGTGTAAAGTCAGGAAGGTCAATTATCAGCCTAAACTTCTTTACCATTTAAAAATGGAAGTGGGGTTTATTTTGATTCACCTTCACTGTCACCAACCGGCCCAAGACTCTCAAGGATGTCTGTGTTGCCAACTAGTAGCAGATCACTACGAACCCCACCAAGGTGGTGATGGCGCTCGGCTTCATCTGGGCTGGTGATACCCCTAGCAGCATGAAAATTTGCTAGAGGAAGGGGTGTAAGGGAATACGGAGGCCAAATTCCAAATGCCTCAAGTAGAGCGGATCCTGATCTGGCCTATGATCATATATGGCCTCCGACCTCATCAGGCCATCAGCTCATACTCCTGGGGGATGTCAAACCTCTCATGGAGCATCCTATTCCATGCAAGGGTTACCTTGGAATGGATCCCCACCAGAAGAGCTCGTCGGTTTACGGGATCTGATGCTATTGTAGGATGAAGAAATGATCACCGAAGAGAGATGAACAGAAAAACTCTGAAGTTCTCTTAAAGGGATTTTAAAGGACAATAACTGCTACCTCTATGGCCCTATTTCTATATATAGGTAGCTAACTTTACAACTGCCAGAATTTGAACTACCGGATCAAGCTTTGTCCAATGGCCCAGATCGATTATCAGAATACGAAGCAGCATCTCAGAAATTGAGGCGCAACCCACTCACCTCGAACAACCCATAATCTACCAAGAAAAGCGGAGATATGGAAGTCAAAAAAGATGTGTAATGACATCAGCCACATCTACTTTGAAGGAACTTTTCAGTCCCCTCATTAATGCACACCTATGTCCATCCAAAGCTGCTCTTATTTCATTCGGACCTGGCTCAAGCCGACTCCAAGCGAAAGGGGCCAACTCTTATGGTGTTTCCAATTGCCAAAGTGCAGCCCTTTGCTAGCAACGAATATGTATACTTCTATATGCAATGCCCCAATCAAATTGGCAGCCAAGACCAGCAAGGATCCCGACATAGCCAACTCGCCAAGTCGATGTCCTCGTATGTCGACTCGAGAGACGATACATGTCGGTCCTCTTGCCAAATGTGATTCGTTATGAGCCCCCTTGACTAGTTAGTTGACCTCCCGTGAGGTTAACTCGAAAGGCGTTACTTCTCAGTCAAGATAAAGGACTTCAACCTCGAGCCTCTCCCACTGATAACATGTCAATAACTTATCATAAAGGTTATCATCTGAAAGTGATTTCGATGTTCTACCAGTAGATATATCATTTGAATCCAATGTAGTAAAAAGAACTAAAAACCTCATTGGAGCGACATTGTTGAATCTTGCATTAAGAGCATCCTTGAAGCTCTTTTTTTCAAATAATCCCCAAACTCTCCTATAAGATTGCTCTGATCCTCATTGTATTCCACCCAATGAATCGCTTGAACGATTTCTCAATTTTTAGACCTTGTACTAATTGGTATTATATTTTTGAGTCTGAGTCAGATTTTGTTCCGACCCAGACTTTACCGCCTCAATACTCACAAAAATCTCCTGCTCTCAGGAGAAAATTCATCTTTTTGCACAAAAATCTATACTCATCAGTCCCAAAACTAAAGTTAGAATATTATATTGGTACCGCTTTAAAGGAAGGGCTAAGACACTTAAATTATGGATACATTAAGATTGTAGGCACTTTATGTGGAGTATTGTTCTTTCGCTGCAGTCCCTCGACAGTCCTCCCCCGCCATCGTCTTAGCTAGATTCACCGACGAGTACAACCACGTTGCACAACCGTGCCGCTGTCCAAGATCCATGCCTTTCGGTTGTCGTCACCGCGTCGATGCCGCTAGCCACACTCGCAGTCGACTCGTTGTAGGCGAGATCTCGCATTCACCCTTGTCGTTAATTAATGATTAATATTGTTGTTAGTATGATGATTATATATAGTTAAATTATTATGGTGGTTAATATGCAATGGTGAATAATTGCGTGGAATGATGATTACGAGCGCACGGTAAAAATCTAGATTAATAATATTGTTAGACGTATTTTTAAGAAATTACGGACATGAAAAGACAAGTTATGTGTTAAAATTAGAATTTACGAAATTTTATGGAAAAGAAATTATTTAAGAAAAATTTATAAAATAGAAATATATTACTTTTCATGCAGAAAGGAATTAATATATTTTTATTTTAATTAGTTATAATGAAAAATAATTTTAAATAATAATCTTGGAAAAAGAATATTATTATTTATGATAGTATGACTGAACGTCGTGGAGCGCGACATTTCATGTACAAAACGACATCGGTTTCTAGTTTACCATATTATTATCTTAGAAAAATGTAATTACCGATATTTTGCATGAGGAGTTTGGAAATTCCAGTAGTGATGAATTTCCTTATGTATGTATTCACGCTGTAGTATTTTATTTATGTCTTTTATGTTTATTATAGTTCTCATTTCTGCTACATAAACATGTATTATCATGTTGAACATGTTATACTATATTCATGATTTGTTGATGTGCTGAGAACCTTAGTAGTTCATGACTTAGTGGCCTCGTGTATCATGAACAGACTTAGTGACATGTGTGGGTGTGTTGACTGAGTTTAGGTGGTGAACCCGAGTTCCAATGAGGATTATGGTTGATTTAGAAAATACAAGAGAGTTGGGATGGGGAAGTCCATGTTCGTGTGATCGGATAAGGATGTTGATGTATCTTCCAGACTAGAACCGGTGAACCGTTTTGCACTGGGGTTAGTTTGTTGAGCCAAGTGAACCGTTTCGCACTTGGTCAGTGAAATCATTTCGTCACCCGAGTTTTGCTTGAGTTCGAACCAGGCCGAAATCGGATTGTGTGTAGTCCTCTCACCTAACCGTTATGTGGGTTTGGATGCACGTAAGGGATTTGTGAACAGCCAGTTATCCGGTGATATGAGCGTTGACTCTGTGTGAGATGTGGACCAGTGACCTGTTATAGAATGACTAGTTACATGACCTCGTTACCTGATCGATTTTGGATGCTTTATGTTTATCATGTTTTAGTAGTGTTTTTGCATGTTGATTTTGTCGAATTTTCAGTTGTACGTCCTTTTGTCTTTCTATTAGTATTATTATTGTCATAGCATGGGTCATACGACCGATTCATTTTCCATGTGAGATCTTGCCGTGCGCCATGCACGCTGACGTACACCTATTTTCTCTGGTGTGCGTCAGACATAGGAGACGAACAAGTTCAGTTCGATGATGCGGCCGAGCCAGTGTATGCCTAGCCAGGATGTCCTTCCGATGGAGTGGAAGAACAAGCTGAAGCCTAGATGTGTTTTTCTTTCTGTAGTAACTGATAGAACACTCTTATAGTATTTTTCTTTAGTTGGTGACAGATTTGGTTATTTTGTTAGTATTTCCTTTTATTATGGACTATGTATTTCTCATTTTCTAGGTGGACTGTTGTTGTAGTAAGGGTATGTTGAACCCATATTTTATGTCTGGGATGATCTGTTGATGATATGCTTATTTCTTATTCTAGGTTGTCTTTATATTCTTACTATTGTGATCGGGGACCTGTGACTGAGATTTATATATTTGACGCTTAACGTATTGGATTGAGAAGAAAAAAAAAAGAAAATGATAGTATATATATTTCTTCTCAATCTAATACGTCACGGGCTTGTTCACGTTCTGATTCCCCGGTATTTTGGGAAGTGGGGCATGACAGTCATCGCCGGTTGCGACGGAGGCATTATAGAAGGCGACATTGGGCCACTGAGCCAACTGATCTGGCAAGGCTGTAGGTTGAGATCCAGTGATACCGTCATCGACATCGGAGGCGGTGGCGACAGATTCATGCAGAGATAGGGCATGAAATCATCACTGATAAAAAAGAGAAAGAGAGAAAGAGTATTATGGTCTTCACATGTTTAAAACTCTTGAGTTTTGTGTTTTGGGGCTCAGAGAATAATGGGTTTACTTTTTAGGGTTTTGGGAGTGTGGTAAAAGTCTTGGGAGGGGGTGGAATAGTTGTTAGGAAATTGGGGGCTAGAAGCAATTCCCCCTTAATATTATTGTGCAGATAAAATGGCTATACGTGTGCAACTGTATTTCGTGATGGCGATATTTTTGTTTCTACTCTCAAGACAATCTAGTGTAAATCTACTATAGTCATTAGCATTAAAATGTCCGAAAAGCCCCTGAATGTAATGCATCAGTCGTGGCCATGCCCTCTCTAATTATAGTTAGGAATAGAATAAGTGTTGGTCACCTAGAACATAAAATTGGAACTGGGATAATCTGTGAGATAAAATTTTAAGGTGTTAGTCACATAGAACTAAAACTCGAACAAAATTTTATAGTGTTAGTCAAGTAGAACTCTAACAAAACTAGAATTAAGATAATGGTACAAGATTATCCCACTTTTTTATTTTTCTATACAAAAATGAGAGTTTCGGTCTCTCAAATTATTCCAAGTTTTAGCTTGGAACTAGGTGGTAAAGAACTAGAACTCATATTTATTTTGTTATTTTTTATTTTTATATTTCTTTTTTTTTTCTTTACTTCTTTTCTATTATGGTTATCACCATCATTAGACCATCATTATAATAATAATTGTCAATATCTTATAGTCTAACCAAAAGTTATTTAATAGTAAAGAACATTCTTGTAAGCAATTATCAACCAACAATAGTAAGTTTAAAATACATAAATAGTATTTATATCTTCAAAATGCATAAATATACATTTCATGATTATAAAAATTTATCCCACGTTATTTTATCAAAATATCTCGCTTCACAAAATTGTTCCTATTTATCCCACCTAAATATCCCACTAGCGAAAAATTATTCATCTTTAACAATTATCCCATTTTGTATGAAAATATCCCAATTGACTAACACCCCCTTAGGGATTTATTTATTCAATTATTACTAATTAATTTAGTTTAATTAATTAATTAGAATTATAATCAGAAAAAGGATAATATGGACATTTTACCATTTCATATAGCACCAATATGGGTGTTAGTTGAAAAAAAATCTCAAACTTAAAGTGGTCTTCTGTAACACCCCCAAATTAAGGGGGCTTACTTGATAGTTTTAAACTTAAATGGGTTTATCTGATGAACGAGCAAACTTAATGGGGATTTGCTGATATTTAGCCTCCTAGCAATGTCCTTGACGTTAGCTCCTATTAAATGAAGGAAAAAAAAAATCGGATTAATGTAGGAATCATGTAAACTAATCTTCAAAATGGAATACCTAACCTAATTATTGATGTTGGGAATGGATGAGCTGCACATGACCATTGTACCTCTAAGCTTATTATTTGCCTAATTGCAAACCTAGTTGTTAGTCCCCTTGCCAGTATCAATAAATGATTGGTTTTAAGAAAGTGAGTTTTCTGCTAATTAATCATGACAATTTGGAGAGAAATTAATGGTCTTATTTTGAGCACACAAATTCAATTTCAAAATAGAAAATGACCTAGATTAATGTAGGAATCATTAATCAAATTAAATTAATGATTTGATTTGTTTTTTTTTTTTTTTTGTTTGAGAAAAATACATTTCCATTGAAATCAACTGTCGTTCAAACCCCCTCAAAGCTATTGAAACAACAAGCACAAGTGGTACCAAATGACAGCCACCGGCAGCTCCTTTTGGGGACCCAATTAAGATGCCGTGACTCTAAACACAAAATCTCCCTGATTTCTCGTTTTTCTTCTAATTTTTTAATCGTAAAGTCATTGTAATTTTGATTTTTTGGGTTAATTTCAGAGACCCCCCAAACTTTTCAGGAGCTGTTGCACTAAACTCTGCTTAATACTATTTTCACTAAACACCCTGAACTTTATAGATGTTATTGTACATAACTCCCAATTTTTTTTATTTATTTATTATACTGATCTTCACCCACATTTATTTCCTCAAGATCGGGTTGTGATTAGGACCCCTGTCGTATATAATCCAGTTGTATATATGCCCCCCCTATAGTTTTATTTGTGCTAATATACTCCCTCGGTGAAATTGGAGTGAAAAACTTAAACGGACTGGGCTTCTAATCGAACAACACGTAGGGCCTATTCGCCTCCGTAAAACCAATTTATATATGTATGTCATATGCGAAGGGAAGGAGCCTGACATGGTCTTCCCCATCATTTTTCCTTCCCGACACCTTCCCTCCCTTGTGGCTGTGGGTCAAACCCCCTCTGCCCCTTGATTGCAGATTTCCCTGAAAATGACATTTCCCCATTTTAAAATATATATATATATATATATTTATATGTATATATGTTATATCTTAAAGAAAGAAAAAAGAAATCAAAAACAAGATTCCGTCGTCGCAATCTTAACGCTAAAATAACATCTAATAAATCCAACACACCTCAATACTATATTCCATTTCTTAATCACAAGAATAATTGTTCCTTCAAGCTACACTCCTCCTTCTCTATATATACATATTAGCGATGATCACCAACCCTCTCCCCTTCCTCCCCTTAAAAAAAAGAGAAAGAGAGAAAGAAAGAGACAAAAAAAAAAAAAACTCAGCAGCTAGCTTCATTATGGAGCTCGACGAGCATGGATTCTTGGATGGGCTCCTTGCCCTGAGGAGAGGAGAAACGTGGACTCCACATTCCCTTCTTCTCTCCCGAGGCCTACGAGCCTGACCCTTTTCGCCGGAGCCGGCTTCGATTGCCTCGGCGAGGTCTGCTGGCCACGGCCCACTCTCGCCGCCCATCGTCTGGGCTCGACGAGAAGGAGAGTGGGATTTTTGTGCAGAAGCCGAGCCTGTTGTGTTCAGGGCGAAGCGGCGGCGCAGGTCAGTGCGGTGCGCGGCGGCGGCGGCGGCGAGAGAAGAACAAGAAGAAGGCTGGAGATGTTCCGTCGAAGAATTTGATGGCGGAGAGGAGAGGAGGAAGAGGCTGAATGATCGGCTCGCGATGCTGAGATCCTTTCCCTAGATCAGCAAGGTGGTGATTGGTTTTATTTTTGTGTTGGCAAATTAATTAATTATCGCTAATTTCTTTCCGGTTTTTTTATTTATTTTTTATTTTTTTTGGGGGGTTAATTAAGGGCGATGCATGCCTTCATTTGCAATATTTATCGCCGTATATATTTTTAAAAAGCCGTACGCGTGTGTGTCCCCCGAGGCCTAAGCGATATTTTGAGTGGCGTCTAGGTCTTGGGGGGCTGCCTGGGGCTGGGGCTACTTATGTCACGAGTTTAGGTTGATTCGATGATGCTCCTCCACCCCCTTACTTTAAACGAAGAAATGATTCACAGTACTCTTTACCACTATTTAGCTGGTTCACTGGTGGTACCTATCACTTTAAATTCATAATAATTCACGAGAGAGATGAGTTTTTTCTTCTTTTTTTTGCAATTTCTGAGTGACAAGTACTAGGGTACGATTTGAGAGATGTCAAATGATACTTTAGGGGTGTTGATGTTTTTGTGCAGGGGGTTTTGGGGTGTTATGTGCAATTTAAACTCGTCCTTTTTCTGAGGGGAATGCAGCTTGCGTTTCTAGTTTTGACGTTTTGTTTTGAGTTTGTGGTGAGCGGACTAACGGATGTTGGTATTGGTTTTTTTGTAGATGGATCGGACTTCAATACTCGGAGATACTATTGACTACATGAAGGAGCTCTTAGAAAGGATCAAGAAGCTACAAGAAGAGATTGAAGTTGGTTCAGACAAGTCTCACAATCTATTAGGCATCTTCAAAGATTTGAGTCCTAACGAGGTTCTGGTCAGAAACTCGCCAAAGGTACGCAAATGTCAAAGATAAATGCTACCTCAACACGCATTAACATTGCTTCGAAATTCATCGTTTGATGAAGATGTGTATCATGCATATGAACGGACTTGTCCAGTTTGAAGTGGAGAGGAGAGATGCAGATACGAGAATAGAGATTTGCTGCTCACCGAAGCCGGGGCTGCTGTTATCGACGATTAGTACTCTTGATGCTGTCGGGATGGAGATTCAACAGTGCGTCGTTAGCTGCTTCAATGATTTTGGAATGCAAGCTTCCTGCTCCGAGGTGAAGGAAACGAATTTGATCAGTTTATTTCTTTTAGTTTTCTGGGTCTATTTCAATTTTTTTGTTTAAATTTGTTTGTGTTTATAGGATTTGGAGCAGAGGGCACTGATGGGTTCTGAAGAGATAAAGCAAGCACTCTTTAGGAATGCAGGCTATGGGGGGAGATGCTTGTGAAGAGAATCTCGGAATGGATTAGTTGTACTGTTAAGAGGGGGGGGAGAAAACAACTTTTAGAGTGAATAATAACTTTGTTTGATTGAATTGTTGCAGCTATTTAGCCCCAAAACCCTTTTCTTCTTCAACATCGGTGTAATATTTGGTTGGTTTTAGCTTTTAAAGGTGAGCATCAATCTAAATGTGGGGGTGTTTTTCTACTTCACATGCCGTAGGTGATATTTGCTTATATGTTCATTAATTAATGGATTATGTGAACGTGGTTATAAGTGAAATTATTCTCTTCTAACAGTGATAACTCACTTATTCTTTTGTGTCCTGATTGGATTGGAGTTCGCTAATCCGCAGTGTTTTTTGTCACAATCGAGGGTTCACAACTGATCGTAGTTTTGTTAATGTAATTTTAGATTGTAGTTTCAGTACGTTCCTGGTTTGTGTTAGCGGTCTTGCATATTCATTTATTTCAATGTGTGAGTTTGATCTCCCAGGGACGTTAGATTAGGTTCGAGACTACGAGAACAATTAAATGAAAATCTGGTTAAATGAATTAAGGGCTAATGCTTTTGGGTCAATTTTGGTCGAAGTTGATCTAGTGAATTTAGTTGCATGAGTTTATCGCAACTAGTGAATTTAGTTCACAACTGGATCCAAGTCAATGTGGAAATTTTTGAGAGGTATCTCAGGTCAATTGAGTTTATTGCATGAGTTTGATCTGGTGAATTTAGTTCAAGAAAGACCCCGTCCTTTAGCAAGGGAAACTGAAATAAAGTTTGGATGAGTAAGCTGAATAATCGAATTAGTTTTTTTTATTTAATGTTTTATGTTCTGTTTTCCCCCCTCTTTCCCCCCCCAAACAATCTTTGCAAAGTTGGCTTTAAAACATGTAGGTCCAACGCAGTACAAGGCTACAAGGAACTTTTGGCAATGGGGGGGTTTTGGTGTTTGGCTCAGAAATTGCAGATATGCTGTATGATTTAATTAACTACAGTTTGTCGATCCACTCGATTGCCATCTGCTTCTGTTCAACTTGCAATAATGCTCAAGACATAAATAATATCATGATCATATGTCATATATCACATCTATGTAGTACTATGCTTGAACCAAATGCCTCCCTTGTGATACTGTAATGAGTGTAAAATGTTTGTTTTCAGAAAGGAGATTCTTGTAGCTGGAATTGGATTTTGCTTACTGTTTAAGTCCTTCTGCAAGTTTTTGATGGTAGCTTTTTTTTTTTGAAAGGTACATAATTAGTGTTTAATGAATTGTGGGCATGTTTTTGCTCTGCAAAAAATAAATAAAAATAAAAATAAAAATAAAAATAAAAAGAGGAAACTTCATGTTGCTTGATATTCAAGAGTGCTTCCCATTTTAGGCAATGCAATTATTGTTGGGGTTAATTGCTCAAACTTCTTGTAGTATCGATGTTTTGAACTTACTACCTTGTAGTTTCATTTTTGCAAATAGACCTCTCAGGCTAAATTTTCTCAACTCTTTTACCTGTCGTAAAATTTGGAATGCATTACCCACGGGTGCAATCAGTTGTGTCTGTTGGGGAAACTAGGATTTTTCCAAGTGAATTTTTGAGCAAATTGAGCTAAACGTTTTGATGGGTCCCACTGTCCGAAATGGATGGGAGTGAGTTTGAACGCGTTCTTCATTCAAGGGAAATGAATCTGGTATATTCACTTGTCCAAATCGGTTTGCGAATGAATGATATATTCAAGTCGGAAGATGGACCAAAACTAAAATTTAATGGGCGCGTCCAATCACGAAGAGCCGCAACTGTTCGGTTTAGTTGTGTCTGTTCGAACCCGAACAACCACTTCTTTTTATTCCGAATGGGTGCGTCCTTTGGTGAAGGGATGTCTTCAAAAGACACCAAGTCCCTATAAAAGGAACCCAAAATCTCATTCCCAAAATACTAAACATTGAATCAAATCCAGTGTGTTTAAGAGAGATCTGAATTTTGTGTTCGTTTTTCTTCCATTCGTTTTCCTTTCCGGTCAAGTGGTGGAAGGCACGGTTAGCCTTGGTTCGCTAGTACAGCTTTGCAGAAGTGCTTTTCCGAAGCTGTGAAGGAGTGTTGTATTTTGGGAGACAATGTCTGATCATCCTGTAAGCACCATAGCAGGGGGCGTAATTTGTCTTAAGGAGATTCGTCACTTGACGTACCTCACTCCAGCAATTCTAGTTCTTTCTCTCTCCTACAAAAGTGCTTCTTCTAAAAGTGTTTTTCCTAACAGTTCTTTTTAGGAATATTTTATTCAATTTGATTTCGGTTATTGATTTAATACTGAATTATTTTACTATGACTCTAACAATCTTAAGACAAATTAGATTTTATTTCATCCGGTTATATTCAGTAATTATTTCTGTTTTTATCGAGATCTTGATCACTGATCTTTGATCTCTCTTAATCAAACAGGAGACCAGTAATTTTATTTTAATTACTAATTAATTTTTTGCATGTGTAGAAAAATGTTTACCAATCAAGAAGGGGGGAATCAAGGAATAATGACTAATTCAAGTCAGATTGTGGTGTCTGGACCGCTTTCGGTGACTAAGCATGACAAGCCAGAAAAGTTTAGTGGGAAGGACATCAAGCGTTGGTAGCAAAAGATGTTCTTTTATCTGACCACGCTGAAGCTGACCAAATTTCTACAAGAGGAATGTCCAGCACTAGATACCGCCAACAAGAACAGCATTTTGGCGGTCGATGCATGGAAAATGGAGACTTCCTTTGCTGAAATTATGTCCTAAATGCGTTGGAGGACACATTGTACAATGTGTATAGTCCATTCAAGACGGCTAAGGAACTCTGGGTAAGTCTTGACAAGAAGTACAAAACTGAGGACGCCGGTATGAAGAAGTTCGTTGTGGGACGATTTCTAGAGTACAAGATAGTGGATGCAAAGGCTGTGATCAGCCAAGTCTAGGAGATCAAACTCATTCTTCACAAGATTGAGGCTGAAGGTATGATCTTGTCTGAATCTTTTCAGGTTGCAGCTATTGTTAAGAAGCTACCTCTTGGATAAAAAGATTTCAAGAACTATCTGAAGCACAAGCGTAAGGAGATGAGTCTGGAGGATCTCATAGTCCGTCTTCGGATCGAAGAAGACAATGACTCAAGTGATAAGAGGGGTTCCAAGAACTCTTATGGGGCAAAAGCAAATATGGTTGAAGAATCAAAGGGGAAGGGCTCCAATTCCAAGAATTTCAAGAAACAAAAGAGGAATGAGAAATCCTCAGGGAATAAGGGCAAGAACCAGGAAGGCACAAAACGCTTCAAGGGTACTTGCTTTGTGTGTAAAATCCTAGACATAAGGCGAACGAGTGTCACAAGCGTCTGAAGAACAAAAACCAACCACAGGCCAATATGACTGACCACATCTCCTCTGATATGACTGACATGCACCTCTCTGCTGTTATTTCAGAAGTGAACCTGACAACCAATTGCAAAGATTGGTGGGTCGATACTGGAGCAACCAAACACATCTGTTCGGACAGAATGTTGTTTGCTGAGTACCAGAAGTTGGAACATAACAATAATCTCTTTATGGGAAACTCAACATCTTCCAAGGTTGAGGGAAAGGGCAAGGTGATTTTAAAGTGGACTTCCAAAAAGGATTTGACTTTGAAAGATGTGCTGCATGTTCCAGATATCCGAAAGAACCTAATATCAGGCTCAGTGTTGAGTAAGAAGAGCTTCAAAATGGTTTTTGAATCTGACGAATTTGTACTCACTAAGGGTGAGGTTTATGTGGGTAAGGGTTACTTGTTGGATGGCCTTTTTAAGGCAAATGTTGTTGTTGGGGACAAGAAACTTGTGTACTTATACCCAAAAGTGATTAATAATAAAGAAGGATCTTCTATTTATTTGCTTGAGTCTCTTTCTTTGTGGCATGCCAGGCTAGAACACGTCAATTATAAGTCCTTAAGGAACTTGTCCAATCTAGGACATATTCCAAGACTTAACCTGGATGAAAATAAGTCCTTAAGGAACTTGTCCAATCTAGGACATATTCCAAGACTTAACCTGGATGAAATACATAAGTACGAAACTTGTGTAGAAATTGTCCAATCTAGGACATATTCCAAGACTTAACCTGGATGAAATACATAAGTACGAAACTTGTGTAGAAAAAAAGTATGCTAAGAGGTCGTTTCATTCAATTGAACATAACACTGAACCTTTAGGGTTGACTCACAGTGACCTATGCGACTTGAAGTTTGCGCCTACGAGAAGTGGGAAAATTTATTTCATTACTTTTATCGATGACTGCACTAGATACTGTTATACGTATCTTCTAAGCAGTAAAGACGAGGCGATTGATATGTTCAAGGCATATAAAGATGAGGTGGAAAGTTAACTCACCAAAAAGATTAAGATTCTCAAATCTGATCGAGGAGGAGAATATGAATCGACAGAGTTTGATGAGTTGTGTGCTAACTTTGGTATCATCCAGCAAACAACAATACCTTATACACCTCAGCAAAATGGGATTGTTGAGAAGAAGAATAGAACTTTGAAGGATATGGTCAATGTCATGCTTGTAAGTTCTAGAGCACCATAGAACTTGTGGGGGAAGCGCTACTTACCGCTAATCATATCATGAATAAGGTACCCTACAAGAAACTTGGTCTTATATCATTTGAATTATGGCATGGAAGGCCTCCTTCCTACCATTACCTCAAAATGTGGGGATGCCTTGCAAAGGTGTCAGCACAACTACCTAAGAAGATCAAGTTGCGAACAAAAACTATAGATTGCCGGTTCATAGGCTATCCATTGAATAGCAGTGCCTACAAGTTTTTGATACATAAATCAGAGGTCCCTAATATTGATGTGAACATGATTATCGATTCAAGGGAAGTTGTGTTCTTTGAAGATAGATTTCCTTATAAGATGGATAATAGAAAGACTTCTGGGAAAAGAACACATGAAATTGCGTTCAGGGATGATAGTCCCAATGAACCAACATACAATGAGGAAGTTGAACCTAGAAGGAGTAAGAGAATGAAAGTCTCTAAATCTTTTGGTCCAGACTTCATAGTATATGCGCTCGAGAGTGAACCTCAAACATTCAAAGAGGCTATGTCTACACCAGAAGCACAAATATGGAAAGAAACTGTAAACAGCATAATCGAGTCCATTCTAAGTAACCATACTTAGGAGTTGGTTGACTTACCACTAGGGAGTAAACCACTCAAGAGTAAGTGTATTTTCAAATAAAAATTAAAATCTGATGGATCGATTGAGAAATACAAGGCTAGGTTGGTAGTAAAGGGATACTGACAAAAGGAAGGTCTTGATTACTTTATTACATATTCACCTGTAACGAGGATAACATCCATTTGGATGTTAATTGCAATTGCTGCTCTACACAATCTGCAAATACATCAAATGAACGTGAAGACTATGTTTCTAAATGGTGAATTGAACAAAAAAATTTACATGGAATAACCAGAAGGGTTCCAAGCTAAAGGCCAAGAGCATAATGTGTGCAGATTGGTTAAGTCCTTATATGGGCTGAAACAAGCTCCAAAACAGTGGCACGAGAAGTTTGACAGTGTCATGATCAATGATGGATTCACTATAAATGAATGCGACAAGTGTGTTTACACTAAGACAGTTGGAGAGACATGCGCTATTTTCTGTCTATACCTAGATGACATGCTGATTCTTAGGACTAATGATGAAGTCATTAAGTCCACCAAACAAATGCTAATAAAAAATTTTGATATGAAGGACATGGGTATTGCTGACGTAATTTTAGGCATTAAAATTAGTAGAACACCATATGTAATCTTTCTATCTCAGTCACATTACATAGACAAGATGTTAGAAAGATTAAAAGAATTTAGGATCAAAGAAAACACAAATCCTTTCCTCCCTCACATTCACCTTCGTAAGAATACAGGAGTTGCAACGAGGAAACTGGAGTATTCACAGATCATTGGGAGTCTAATGTACCTAATGAACTGACACAAGGCCAGATATTGCTTACGCTGTAAGTAAACTAAGTAGGTACACTAGTAATCCCAGTAAAGATCATTGGTCTGCCTTACTAAGAGTAATAGGCTACTTGAAGAATACAAAGGATTATGCATTGAGATATGAAAATTATCCACCTGTACTTGAAGGGTATAGCGATGCTAACTGGATTACGGATTCCAAGGAATCAAAATCAACTAGTGGATATGTCTTTACTCTCGAAGGTGCGGTTGTATCTTAGAAATCCTAGAAACAAACACGCATAGCTCGTTCCACGATGGAGTTAGAGTTTATTGCATTAGATAAAGCTGGGGAAGAAGCAGAGTGGCTTCGACAATTCCTCGAGGATATTCCATTATGGCCTAAGCCTGTGCCCGCAATATACATTTGTCGCAGACAAAACACCATTAAGCAGCTGCTCTCAAATGGCTTTATCTCCATTGACTTTGTGGCATCAAAAGATAACTTAACGAATCCGTTTACTAAAAGTTTAAGTGGAGAGCGTATAAGGTGCGCATCGAGGGGAATTAGGCTAAAAGCCTAACCATACTAAGTCGACTTAATGGAAACCCTACTTGGTGACTGGAGATCCCATGGACCAAGTTCAAAGGGAAAAACTGGTTGAAAAACTGGTTATGATTGACTCGAGGAGTAAGCACTTAGGAGCTTGTCTTCATCTCATTCCTATGGTGCACCAAGTGCGGCCTCTAAATGGGTTTAGGATAACCATAAAGCTTTTAATGACGCCTATAGCTTGTTTTCAAAAACAAGTGAAGTAGAGTAGGCTACCCTTTATAGGACGATCACCTATGTAAGTGTAGACCTGAGGGCCGGCTCTTTGAGAATCTCTATAGAGGCTGTGATTCTCTAAAGACACTTTCTAAAACCAAGAATGTCCATGACCAAAATGGACACAACCAAGAACCAAAGCTGATTTTGGGAAGTTTCTGCGTGAAACCTGTTGACTTGGCTTACATCTATGATTGACAGTTCAAGACCTAGTTCATTGATTGGTCTAGTAAGTCCGATAAGGTTTTACTATGGAAGGTTCAAGATCTAGTTCACCTATCCTGATGAGGCTGCTTTCCTAAAGTGTTTTTCACTACAGAGTCAGTTTCGTAGTTAGTCAAATTTCTTGAATCTCTATTCATGTGGGGATTATTGGGGAAACTTGGATCTTTCCAAGTGAATTTTGGGCAAATTGAGGTAAACGTTTTGGTGGGTACCATTGTCAGAAATGGATGAGAGTGAGTTTGAACGCGTTCTTCATTTAAAGGCAATGAATCTGGTATAATCACTTGTCCAAATCGGTTACCGAATGAATGAGATATTCAAGTCGGAAGATGGACCAAAACTAAAGTTTAATGGGTGCATCTAATCACAAAGAGTCACAACTGTTCGGTTGAGTTGTGTCTGTTTGAACCCGAACAGTCACTTCTTTTTATTCCGAATGGGTGCGTCCTTTGGTGAAGAGATGTCTTTAAAAGACACCTAGTCCCTATAAAAGGAACCCAAAATCTCATTCCCAAAATACTAAACATTGAATCAAATCCAGTGTGTTTAAGTCCCTATAAAAGGAACCCAAAATCTCATTCCCAAAATACTAAACATTGAATCAAATCCAGTGTGTTTAAGAGAGATCTGAATTTTGTGTTCATCTCATTCCCAAAATACTAAACATTGAATCAAATCCAGTGTGTTTAAGAGAGATCTGAATTTTGTGTTCATTTTTCTTCCATTTGTTTTCCTTTCCGGTCAAGTGGTGGAAGGCACGGTTAGCCTTGGTTCGCTAGTACAGCTTTGCAGAAGTGCTTTTCCGAAGCTACGAAGGAGTGTTGTATTTTGGGAGACAACGTCCGATCATCCTGTAAGCACCATAGCAGGGGGCGTAATTTATCTTAAAGAGATTCGTCACTTGACGTACCTCACTCCAGCAATTTTAGTTCTTTCTCTTTCCTACAAAAATGCTTCTTCTAAAAGTGTTTTTTCTAACAGTTCTTTTCAGGAATATTTTATTCAATTTGATTTCGGTTATTGATCTAATACTGAATTATTTTACTACGATTCTAACAGAGTCTACTTCATGGTGAAATAGTCAAAAAATTAACCCATGAGCACAGTGTGCGATATTAATGAAACTACATGGATAGTAAGTCAAAACAACCATACTACAGGGTTTCTATCCGCAACTAATCCCATTTTGTTATATTCTTGGTGTGTTGTAGCTTTGATTCTGATTGTACTGTTGGCTAGCTCGTACAATATTTTCTGGAAAGAAAATCATCAAGGGTTGTCCAACTCCTCATTCTTCAAATCATTGAGGAATCTAGAATTGCTTGATGGTTTCTAGATCTCTATATTTATAAATTAGGTGATCTAGTTTATCACCATGATAAATTAATCAGCACTAGTAAGTGAAGATGTTATGACATTATATATATATATATATCTTTTAGATTATCATGAAATCATGTGATGGATAAGATTTCGAGCTTCATGAGATTGAACACGCTTAAACAGGCAAGATTAAAGATTAGTGTACCCACCGTCTTTTCTTTAAAAAAATACAAGATTATTCCTTTATTAGTTTTGTGCACATGCACGTGCATGTGTGTCTTGGAACATTAGATTTTATACAATGAGAGATCATGAGCCCTTTTGAAGATTAATGTTTCCATATGCTAATAAATTTCTGGTGATGCATTGATTTGATCGATCATCGACAGGAAATATTATTCATAATGTTGAACTTTTTTAGTAGTATTATAATGGAATTCATCAAATCTCTAATCTAATTGTTGGGTTTATATCATACTAGCCCTATGTTGTATCCTATATGAGTTATCCTTGTTTCTCATATCTTTACTTATACCACTAGTAGAAAAACCCACATACTAGACGGAATATCCTAGACGGAATTTTTTCCGTCTAGTTTGCATTAAACTAGACGGAAAATTTCCGTCTAGAAAAACTATTCTAGACGGAAATTTCCGTCTAGTATAACAAAGTAGACGGTTTTAATATTTTTTTTATTTTTTTAAATTAAAATAAGCATCCTAGACGGAAATTTCCGTCTAGAAAACATTCTAGACCGAAAATTTCCGTCTAGGATGGTGGGTGCCCCTCCCGCCAAAATTTCACCCCCAATTTTCGTTTCCCGCCTAAATTCTCAAACTCTGAAATAAAATCCCCAATCGCCGCCTAAATTTCATTCCCAAATTTCTCCCCCTCCCTCTTCATCCACTCCGAGTCCCCCTTCCCCTCCGCAGCCTCCTCTCCCTCTCCCTCTCCCGATCCCACCCAGGCCCCAACCCCCTCGACCGCATCCCCGGGGCCCACTCCCCCTCCCCCGCCGACCTCCTCTCCCTCCTCAGCTGCGCCCGCCCTCCTCTCCACCTCCACGTCGTCGTCTCCGCGGCTGAGGGTCGCCGCCATCGAGGCCCGATTTAGCTCTCTCGAGCTCATCGGGAGTGGCTCTTTCGGCGATGTCTTTAGAGGGTAAAGTTTCCCCCTTTCTACAATCCTTTGAATTCATTTGGGAATTAGGTTTTGTTTGTAACCAGTTGGAAGTGGGATCTTTTAGGGTTTGATTGTGCATTATTTAGGGAGTATGTTGTTGGCCTTAGTTTGGGGTTTTTTTGTACCGATCTGTGTGTAGGAAATGTAATTAGATGGTGATAGGATGATAAGTAGAAGCATGTATCGGAAATGTAATTGTCTAATATGCCAAGTAATTTTCTCTTTTGTTCGGTTGCAAAACGTCACAAAATGATTAATGTTTAGTTTATAAGGCCCAATATGATTTGGGAGGCAATTGATTTCCATGCTGAATAGCATGTTTGCTAAGTTCTCATTCTCAAATCTCATGCTGATTCAATTCTAGCTGATGATGTGCCTGCAACCGTCATATTTATCAAGCTGTTGTATGTTTCTTATGTTCCCATATGCATTGATGTTTTAATTTGATTACAAGTTTTCTGTCTTGTTGGAAACACTGTGCAGAGGAAGGCAAGAGGAGCACTTGAGTTTGTTTGGAGCATACTTGACTTCCAAAAGGACCAAGATGTGAGAATTAAAGTTGGATATGAAATATCTCAGCAGGTACGATCTCTCTATTAGCTAAATTCTTTCCAGGTGGTATGCCTTTTCAGTACTGACTTTATCGCTTTCTTTTCTTTGTAAAAGTTTAACTTTAGATATAATCCATTGGCTCTTTATGTTGATCATTATGCATTGTAATGTTTGTTATAATGTTTGTTAGTGTAGCAGTGTATAATGTTTGAAATGTGATAAAAAGTGGTTTTTGGCCGTTTTAAATGTTTAGATCAATATCAAAAATTGTTGCATTCAAATTATTTATGCTGTAAAGTTGAGATCTAAGCAAATCAGCCATCCATTTATGACTTATGCCAGATTAATGACTGAAAGTTTTTAAAGTTCTCACATTAACCTTAATAGTTCGTGCACATTTCAACTAATGCAACATCATAAATATGAAAACTATCATGTCGGTGAAATTTGATTTATATTTGTACTTCACAGCTGAGTGCCAAATCGGGTATATGTCATGCACCATTTCCTTATATATACAATTTATTATGGGAGAAATTAACTCATGTCAAATACTGAAGCTTACAGCTTCAAGGTTCAATAGCCTCAAGGTTTTAATCAGAATGAAGCAACTTTATTCAACGATGCCAAACATGAACGTTACTAGTTTTATGAATGACCAGTTTATACCCAAGACAACAAACTGATTCAATTCTAGCTGATGATTTTTGTTTTTCTATTCTCCTTATAATCCGAATGAAAAATACACCTGTTTGTATAGCTCCAGAACTATATAATTAGGTTGAGTTTACCTTTTGATGATATTATTGGCAGGATTCTCCCATTGTGCCAATGGGTAAAATCCCTCAAACAGATGTCCTTTTGAGAGCAGAAAGTGTAGTTGGGGAAATTGGGGGCTGCGTTTTGAGATTAGCAGGCCTTTACATATCCTTTTAAAATTTCTTCACTGTTTTCTGTTCTTATGTGGAATTTAGGATCACACGATTGTAAATAAAATCTATTTCTTGAGACAGCTATTCATTATAAAACCGTGTGGTGTTTAGTAGTGTATTTTGTATTCAAGATCTTCAGGTAAACACATTTACATCAATTTTGCATGCTAGGATGCTGCATCTCTCGCAATTGCAATCATGAAGAAAAACTTGAGAGGTCAAACGTTTTTAGGGTGTGATGACAATCCTTTATCGCGGTCTGTTCTCCCTCTCTTTGCAATATACTGTCAATTATGTCTTTTGGTTACTTATGGAAAATATTTTCCCCTTGATATAGGCAAGAAATAATGGAGTGTGTGAAACGAAGCGGAAAGTTCAGCAAGGAGTTGAAGAAGCTTCTGCATTGTCATAGCCATTGTAAATAATTTATGTAAAAGTTTGTAAATAATTTATGTATCTCTCTACTATTTTGATGAATATATTATTTGAATATAATGAGATTTGATATTGGAATATAATTAGATTGTATTGGATATGAATATAATTTTTTTTGTTTAATATTGTGTACATGCATCCAAAGTAGATTCTGCAAAAGAAAAAAAAAACACTGTAGCACAGTATCCTAGACGAAAATTTCGTCTAGGATACTAAAATTCCGTCTAGGATACCTTTTTTTGAAAAAAATTTAAAAAATGAAAAAATATCAATTTCCGTCTAGAATGAGTATTCTAGACGGAATTTCCATCTAGAATACTCATTTTAGACGGAAATTTTTTCCGTCTAGGATGAATTATTCTAGACGAAATTTCCGTCTAGAATAATCCGTTTAGGATGTATTCTAGACGGTTTTAAATTCCGTCTAGAATATTCCGTCTAGGATGTATTCTAGATGGAATTTCCGTCTAGAATACTACATCCTAGACGGAAACTTTCTAGACGGAATTCCGTCTAGGATACACATCCTAGACGGAATTCTGTGTATCCTAGACGGAATTTTCCGTCTAGGATGCCTAATTTTTTAGCAGTGTACTAGGTGTAATGCACTTGCCTTGCACGTTGTCAAATATATGATTTGTTTGTTTTGAGTTAATCTCTTTACTTTAACTCACTTGCGAAATAATTTATGGTTTTAATAAAATATATGAAATATTACTCTAGAGAAATAGTAACATTGTTCATAATAAATCATGAGAGATTAATCATGCTTTACTACAAAATATAGATTTTTGAATTATATATATATATATATAGTCCGTTATATCCGTGTTTGAATGAATTTGTTGAGGATTGGTGAAGGGGTCGTTTTCTTCCCTGACTTTTTGTCTAGTTCTTGAATTGTGGTATCTAAAAAATCTGCTCAAGTAGAAACTCGTAAGAGGGTGGGGTTTGGTTCCCCCGTTATACCTCCAACAATCAAGTTAGTTGAGACTTGATTGGGGTTTTAAAGAATTGTTGTAATTCTTGTGTGTGTGGGGTATGATTTTTAGAGTTATAAAGTTTTTATCAGAATCAAGAATTCGGTCCTCGCTTAAGTTGAAATAGTGCCTATATTTATATTAAGGTGGCAACAGTAAATTGGTCATTTTGGCCAAGAGTAGAGAGGCGGTGGTGAAATGTGGGCTAGCGGCCAAGTCGGCACTTGCTTTACAGGTGTCGGCTAGCGAGTTGAGGGAAGGTCGCTTCGACATTAAATGGGAAGAGACTGGCGACATTGGCAGGGCCTACATGGTCCAATGAGTTATGAAGACTATCTGGGCTAGAGTCATGATGGCACCTGCCAAGCATTAAATATAATGTTGATACGTTGTCATAGAGTGAAATAGTCAAGACGAAAACAGTCCTTTAGCTTCATCGAGAAGTAACGCCTTTCGAGTCAACTTTGCAAGGTATTTGGCAAGTGGTCGAGTGGACTCGTAGCAAGTTGTCTTCAATAGAAGAGGGGCGATAAACACTACCTTTCGTGTCGACAAACACCACCTTTTGTGTCGACATTGAGGTGTGCCATCTCGTCTGGTCACTGAGTTGCCGTCCCTAATAGTCTCTGGCTACCAAGTTGATTGGGGCATAGCACGTCGAAGTACACTTGTCAACTACTTGGTATTTGAGTTGTATTTTGGTGAAAATGGAAACACCATAACAGTTGGCCCCTTTCGCTTGGAGTCGGCTATGGCTGGGTCCGAGTGAAATATAATAAAATTGTTTTGGACAGACATGGGTGCTTTGAATAAGAATTGAAAAGTCATTTCAGAAGCAGCGTGGTTGACGTCACCACACGTCTGCTTTACTGCTGCAGCTCCACTTTTTGACAGATTGTGGGCTACTTGAGGTAAGTGGGCCACACATTGATCTCTGAGGGCACTTTGAATTCCGAAAATAAATCCTAGCCACTAGATACAATCGGATCTGACGGTTTGAGTTTTGACAGCTGTAAAGTCAGTTGTCTATATATAGGAATAGGGCCATAAGATTGGCGCCTATTGTCTTTTGAAATTCCTCCTAGAGAGTTGTTGATCTTCTTCGCTCATTTCTTCCGACGATCCACTCTTCAATTTAATGGCTCCAAACCCGTTGAACGACGAACCCTCCTGGAGAATGTTCGCTCCAAAGTGACCTTGCCACAGAAGAAGACACTTCCTAAGAGGTTTGACATTCCTGAGGGATACGATCTCTTGGCTCTGACGGCGTCAGAGACCATTTTTTACCATGAGCCGGAGTGGAATCCACTCTATGTGAGGCATTTGGAATGCGGCTTACAGTTACCCCTGCACCCCTTTCTCAAGCAGGTGTTTGAGGCGCTAGGGGTATCGCCGATCCAAATGAAGCTGAACGCCATTGCCATCCTCATGGGATATGTGATTGATGCGGCATAAACTTATACCAAAAAGTTGCAAGTGCACAACTAATCAAGTTATAGTATAAAGAGTTATCGATCCTACGAGGAAGGTGTTTTGTAGGAGAAAATATAAAATCGGTTCTTATGTTGTGTGCGTGACAAATAGGAGTGATGAGTGAATGTGATTGTGAAGAGATTGAGAGAGTGAAAATGGTGCGTAAATAGGCGCAAAATGTAAGTGAGTGTGGATGTGACAAAGAATGAATGTGATCAATAAGGCAAGAATGAATAAAATCGAGAAACAAATGAAAATCAAGAATGAAAAAAAATAAAATTCAAGAATAAAAGAAAATACAAGAAATTAAAGATGGTGGATTTAATTATAGATATGGGTGATCTAAAATTGAACCCACTTCTTTAGAAAATGGTGATTCCCTAGAGGGTTCTAGCCTAAAGGCGAATCAAACAAAATGAAAATAAACAAAAAGAAAAACTAAACCCAAGAGGGTTCTAGCCTCAAGGTGAATAGTGCAAGAAATTAAAATCTAACTACAAAATAAATTACAAAATCTAAACTACAAAATAAATTGTAAGAATTAAATGCAAGAAAATAAATCTACTCTATAAGCATAAAATAAATCTAATCTATAAGCATGAAATAAATCTAAGGCAAGAGGGTTCTAGCCTCTTGGCTATTTAACAAGAAAATAAAATCTAACTATAAGCATAGAAATAAATCTAAACTAATAAGCAATAAAAAAAGAAACAAAAGAGAAAAAGAAAAGAAATACAAACCTCTAAATAATTCTTCATCTTCATCTTCATCATCTAACAAAGAGAAGAAATATTTAAAGTGGTGAAAAAATTATTATTATTAATTATAATAAAAAGTTATAAATTTGGAAGGCCTTCTCAATTAAGAATAGGCCTCCTCTCCAAAAGGAGTTACAAAAATTTTCACACCTCTAACCCCTCACTCTCTACCCCTATTTATAGTAAACATCAATGAATGAGAGCCCTTGGATCGAAATCTTATCCAAAAACCATGAATTTCAGCCTTAGATTCGTAACAGAATGACGATGGCATCGATACCAGCATCGATAGGGGTATCGATGCCGGCATCGATGCCCAGTGCACTCTGGTTGCTTTTCCGAAAATCCTTCTTCTTGTAGGCTTTGGGCTTGGGCCTTTTGACATTTTCTTTGCATTTTGGGCTTTTAATACTTCATAAAATATTTGAAAGAAATTGTTTGGCTTCATGAGCTTCATTTCTTCATTAAATCAAAGGCTTCTGTTTAGAGATGAGAGTTTGAGATTTATTCTTCATTAACCTGCAATTAAAAGATAAAAACAATTATTAGTGGTATATTTATTCATATAAAATAGATAATGAGGGTATAAAATTGTAATAAAATGTGATTATCAAATACCCCCACCCCTAAACTTTTGCTAGTCCTCTAGCAAAGAAAAAAAATGAAAGAAAACCTAACTCACTTTCGCAGGAATCGCGGTTGTATTTAGCGCATACAACAAGCCTTTAAACTCCTAGGTTACCCTAGTGGATGAGTTGTAGTCTCGTGAGGGTTTGCAGTGAATATACCCACAAAATTCGGTCAACTTGCCAAATTAAAGAAGTCAGTAAATAACTAAATTCACTTGATAACATTTAGATAATCTAATTGGAGCCAGTTATCACTCAAGAAAACATTTTTATATATAACTCTAAGGTATATTTTTAAGAAAATCTTCTCATTGTAGCAATACAAAACCAAGCCAAACTTAGAAATTTAATTTAAAAGTTTTGAAAAGAACATGCTAACTCTTTGTTTTAAATAATTTTCAAGTTGCTTGATTTAAAATATTTTCCAAGACCATATATACAACTATAAAACATTTATTAGTTTTTTTAACTCTTTCTTCCTTGGTGATTTTTTCTACTTTAACGGGCTTTCTAAGTGACCATTTAACGAGTTTTGGGCCAATGGATCCCAACCCAAATGGGCTTAGGTCATTAAGTATGGAAATACTCCTTGGGCTTAATTACTCGGTCAGCTTAGGCTTAATAAGATAGAATCACCTTGAATTAAAGAGTTTTTTTTTCTTTTTGGTGCCCATTTTTCGCACTCTTCTTTTGCAATTTTTTTTTGTATGTATATATATTTTTAAAAAAAATATGTAAATCAAGACACTTTGAAAAATTATTTTCAACTCTAAGTTAAGCATACAAAAATTTCATTATTTTAAATAAAAGTCCAAGTTAAGGCTTAAGTAAAGTATACTACTTTGAAAATCATTTCTTAAGAAATTTATTTAGAGTTATCATAAAAAGTGAACTTAAGTAAATAACCAACTAGGGATTAGAAAATTTCAAATTTATCAAATAAATCAATTATTACATAACTCTATCAATTTGGCAAGTGACGATATTTTTAAAAAAAAAATTTTAAGAAAAAGGGGAAAAAAACAAAAATGTAACTAAAAATGTAAAATAAAGAGAAAAAATAACTAATTCCCACCCCCACACCTAAATTTTGCATTGTCCTCAATGCAAACTCTATGATACATAAAGTAAAGCAGATAAGAAGTGAAGCACTTACATTTGGTCGGCTGATAAAAATCTGCAATTACCTTTGGTCGGAGGAGGATGGAAAAAATTTATTC